GTTGTCAGAAAACTAAGATGGATTTTGACAACATTTATTTTATACACAGTTCAAAAGGAACAAAATTCTAGTAATATCTAAGTCTGTAACTAGATTCTAATTGCACAGTCACGCTATGTTAAAGTGCTTAGTAAACATTTCATACCAATACAAAGAAAGGCAGTTACCCACAAGAATATAACTCCACAAACCCTACCTCCCAATCTCCACCAATCCTATCCTTCCATCTGATGTGCCATACAAGATTTCATTGCCCTCATCACCTAGTACAAAGAACACAATATAACTAACATGTACATAATTAGAAAAGAAACACTATATATTTTCAACCAATGTGTAAGTTCATAAAAATAAGTAATATATATAACATCCAAGTCGGTCAAGTTTACAAAATGATAGGAAAAGGGAATTATAATTAAAAAAATAAATATCAAATTAAATGAAAAATGTTTATAATAAAACAGTGTTATGCCCACAGATCCAGTGCAGTCTTTAACCAGGACATGTATATGACTCACCTCCAGTGCCAGCATACATACAAAGTGTAGAAGGCGGCCCAGGAGTCTCCACTTCATATAAAATGTCAGAGTCCTGGAGACAAATAGGAATGAAACTTCAGTGATGTAATGGCAAAACAGGATAATACAACAATGAACCCAACCATTCCAAACCTTGTGACCGTGGCCATTTACAACATGGTGCATTTACAACATGGCAGTGTGTAGAAAAGTAAACATAGGTGTACCAATTTTTAAAATTCTCATTATCTCATTCTTGACAATTTACAACATCAAATACTCTTTATGTTTATGTGAATTATCATATTTCTTGTGCTACTCACGGTGACTCACGAAAATGATGACTTATAGATAACTGCATAACTGCAGGTAAAAAATGCTACATCATGACATACAGAAACCAAGATATGATTATCAGCTTAGTTAAAGGAGACTGAGGAAAGAAAGAAAATGAAAGATGTGGACAGTAATATACATCTATGACTAAGAGTTTAAATGAACCCTAAACTCTGAGGATAACATTAACATGGGTGTTCGACTTTGCTTTACCTGTAACACTCGAAGTACCCTATCCTGACAGGCCAATACAGGCATTATTTCTGGTATTCTTTCCACAGGTAACACTATAATGTCATTGACTTTGTCTTGGCATAGGTAATAGTTGGTATCTTTACAATCCTTATAATGGTTGTAAATGTAGTTTCCACTCACAAACAGATCTGCCCCCTCAACATGCCTGCAAATATCCAGAAAGTAATTGTTTTAATAACTTGATCTGAATAATAAAAGTGATTTTTAAATTAAAACTTGTCCTTGCCCTTGCCTGACATCAAGAAACAACAAAGTACATACGACATTTTAAAAATTTCACATGTATTTAATATAGGAGTGATTATGTGACCACTTGTCTTTTAATCTGTCTTAGTAGATAAAGAAAAGCCTTGTCTGAGAGCATCCAAATAACAAGGTACATATCCAATTTACATTTTACATGTAATATTGAGGTGAGTATGTAACCACTAACCTTTCATTTCCAAAATACATCCTAGACACAACATTGTCTAGTTTCAATAAAGGGTGTAATCACTTGTCTTTTAATATGTCTAGGTAATGAAAAGCTTTGCCTGAGAGCATCCAAATAACAAGGTACATACTTAAGAATATTTCTTTTTACACTTTACATATAATATTAGGCTGAGTATGTAACCAATTATCTTTCACTTTCCAAAATATATTCTAGACACAACTAGTCTTTGAAACATTTTTAAAAGTAATCATTTTTAAACATTACAAGCAAGGGAACTTACATGGCTAAGATGCTTTCAGACATGTTTGTATCAAATCCTAGAAACTGTTTTCCTTTCTTGTTGAACCCTTTGACCTCTGGGCCAGTTGCTACAAAAATTTTCTCTCTAACTTGTCCCAGGGGGCCTCCCAGTTCCACTCGTACCATTTTGTTGCCAGGGAGGGTCTTAAATACATGCTGAAGTAAAAAAAAGTTTAAACAACTGGGTTAATCTTCAAGTCAACCTTAACACATTTCATTGCATGATTCTATATAAGCATGCAATCATCTAGGATTATATATATATATATATATATATATATATATATATATATATATATATATATATATAAATAAAATTATTATTTAGATAGTTTATATTAAGGGAGACAGTATCAATCATATTGATATTGAAAATGTTAAGCACTAATAAAATACTGGTGTCCCAATTTTTACCTCTCATTAGCAGTTGCAATCCCATATAATCATATGAAAATGAATATTTACAAGATAATAAAAATTGTAAATCAGATGAATTTTTACTAGATTGTAAAATTGTAAATCTAAATTGAATTCACAACATTTGGTAAAAACACGATTTTAATTTACTTACATTAGGCTCCCCTTTCTTTAAAGAAAAGCACTGTAAGACGCCATTATGGTCAGCAACAACAACCTGCAAGAGATGTAGATCATTTTAAGTGAACTGGCAGCAGCTTGTCTTCTGAGTTTTTTTAAATCTCCCAAGCAATTCACAGTTGATCCACCAAATATTCATAATAGACAAAGAATAAAATGGATGAGACTGTGGTGTATATGTTCTTTCTCTTAATTGAAAATATTCAGTTGACACTTATTAAAATTTGAATATGTCTGTATATAATTTCTTTTTTACCTCTGGAGACCACTGCATTTCTGTAAGTCATACATGTATAAATATAGTTATGTTTTATTTATACATGTAAGTGATACATGTTATATAAGAATATTACAGAATCTAATTCCATTTACAATGAAATAATTGAACTTACTTTTTGTGTTGGATCCTTTTTTCCTGCTGGAGGAAGGAGCTTTAAGCTCTTTGGTGATGTGATACCCACCTAAAAAAACAGCTCATCATGAATTTGTGTAAATTTTCAAACAGTTTCTATTTATTATATTATATATAAGCATTTAATGATAGTGCACTCAGATTAAACAAGGAGTTTCAACTCCTGTTGAAACTCCTTGGATTAAATAAATACAACTGTTTTTTCGATAAGGGATTCAATTATAAAACTATATTCATGCATCTTGGTTCTATACAACCCACTCACCTGCAGGTAATCCACACGAGAAAGGTTTAATTCCATCATTTTGAGGCGAGTCTTGTTTCTTTCACTCCATGCTCTAGAGTGGAAGAAATATATACATTAGTTCAAATATTTGAAATTAAAAATAAGACACACGTACGGTGTGATAATTCGAGGTCAAAAATAATGCAATGTCATGAATAATGTAATAAAAAGTGGATCAAATTATCTTAAATTATTTAAAACAAAAATTAAATAGATCTAGATCAAAATATGACTGAAAATAAAAAATAAATCTTTCGACTGATTTCACAAGAATTAGGGGAAAAGAAAGAAAAACTGGTTTGCTGAATATCGCTCCTGTCTCAAACAATCTTTTGATACTTGCAAAAAAGATCCATATACCGACAATCATTTGCAAATAAACACGGTTCTTCTCTACTTACCAGTACAGAAAACTTCGATTGTGCAAGGAAACTATTTGCCGGAAGTACACAAAACAGCTGCGCACTTCATGGTTACCATAAGTTTGCTTGGTTGATAAAATGTGTTGGGACGAAAATGACTTGATTATACCAAACCTGCCCCTATACTCATAAAAATACAAGATTTGCTCATTTGTATTCAGCTTTAACACTAGCAGAGATATCTATACGATTTTCTGGTCAGACCACAAAAAAAGGGTACAGCCAGACCACAAGATGCCATATCAGGCCAATTAGCGAGGTGTCGTTACAGGCTAGGGAGTTTACTTCCAACAATATACAATTTCTTGGTAATTAGAGCTTACATTTTAAGTAAATTAATTCACTCTAAATATTATTTAAAACATATATCAGAAATGAAGAGTTTAGCAATTTCAGTATAGATTTTCATGGAAAGAAGTTCAACGATTTCTGATCTAGCTCTGGGACCTATTTCACAAAAGAACATAAGATCATAGGTTTGACTTTGTTTACCAAAGCTTTAGTAAAAATATGGTCTAACTAAATAATTTTATTTAACCATTTGAATAGAATTGATAATTAGACCCCATTCCCAGAGATTAGATCGATCCAAACTAGATCTACCTAAATCCCTGGGGGTTCACGCCGAGCGGGCACGAAAGTTAATTACCCCCTTACAGCTTGTAGTAGGCGGGACGGACATTTAAGTTGGATTATCTGACAGTAATCTTGTGACACTCCCCACGGGGATAGATCGATCAAAATCTATGGGAATACGCCCTTAAAGTAATTCAAGGCAGATATTTGCATTTCACAATTTTAAATCAAATTAAGAAAGGTTAGAATCTATACTATTTTATTGGACTGCTGCATATTATTCCTTAAGTGAAGTAGACGAAGTTTTCGTCTCAAAGTTAAAAAGGGTCAACCTTTTTTTTTTTTTTTTTTTTTTTTTTAGTTCTTTTGAGAAGTCCTCTGGTCTGAGACGACATATTCCGCCATCCTGTGACCCTACATTGGCTCCACTCCACCGCCCCATCCACCGCCCGCCTGTTTGATCTCGCGCATTCTCGCGACCCACAGCCTCTTTCTGGAAAGTAAACCAAACATTGGAAACGATCAACACAGAAATGTGACTGCGTACTACTCGGCGTGATATGCCTATTAAACAGTGGGTAAAATGGGCAGCAGGTATCACATAGCTGCTGGAGGTGTAAAGAAAAAGAAACACTGTTCCTGTAGTATCACATAAGGCAAGGATGATGACGGTAAACTGGGCGAATAACGAGTATTTTCACCAGTTATTGTGCGGGGACAAGCGCTCGCACATAGCACTGGAGATGCTTGTAGACGACCTGCACGTCGAAAAGGACAAGACGATAACCAAATTTCTCTGTCATTCTGGCTCGGAAGATTTCTTGTGGGGATTGGTAAAGCTGCTGGCAAGTGAAAACTCGAGGTATTTTTGCAGTTTTAAGAAAAGCGTGCTTTAACTACCTTTGTAAATTTAATAACTACAACTTATATAACTATGACTAGTAATAGCATAATGGTAGAAAGCATTAATGATATTGATCAATAATATGCGTCATTATAAATTACTTATAATATAGGATAATGTAGTTGTTTCCAAATGCCCCAACAGATTTTTAATTATTATTATTATTATTTATATTTAATTATTATTATTAATTTTTGCTATTATTTTATTTATTTATTTTTGTTGTTGTTGTTAAAAGAAAGAAATGATTATATGTAGTTAAACTGGTAAACCTGGCAGCAAGGTTTCAATTTGGTTTGTTCTTCAGCGCTATCACAGTAAGCTAATTCAGTTGTCAACTTGATTGTTTGCTGAAAAAAATTATAATGACACAGTCTTCAGAACTTAAAACACTTTATGTCAAAACATATAAATAATTAGACATCCTTTTATATTTTTGAAATTGTTTTATATTCAACAAACACACACACGCAAAATAAATCTGCTGCACTCCTAACATCCAGGTATATAGGCTTTTAGTTTAAAAACAGACCACCTGTCCACTTATAACAGCATAAAATCAAAAACAACATGTCACTTACAGTAATGTGACCAAAACAAGAATTTTGAACACATTCTAAGTGCATAAATTGCTTCTTGTTGAGCATATTTGAGAATAATTAAAGCTTTTAAGACATATTTTGACATAAAAATGACCATAATCAGCATCACAAAAAATAATCATATTCACTGCCTCCTACCTAACCTCCGTAGTCAGCCATCGTGACACAGTTTGAAAAAAATAATATGGTTGCAGCATGAGAGTCCTGTAAGATCTGAAAGCCAAACTTGGAATGAATGAGGTACATCTGATGGGGTATCTGGAAAACCTGTGCTTAAGCGCAGGTTTAGATCATTTGCTATTTCTAAAATTGTTACAAAGTTATGGTGAGTATCAGAAAAGAAAGGTTAAAGGATGATAAATTGGGAGAAATGCCATCTTCCCTGAGAAAATGCTTTAAATGAGTCTTTGGTGGTAAAAGCATGGCTTGGAAGCTAACTACAGTACATAATAACAAAGATCAAGGCTACAATAACCCTTTCTCAGGTTTTCCCAATATGAGAAAGCACTCTTTGGAAAAATCACCAGGCTTTGGCAGCTTTGTCCCTGCAAAACGTGAATAATTTTATTGACTTTACCTGTCATGCATTACAAGTGAAATTAAGGTGCCAACCTATAAACAAACAAAAAACTGAATTATTAGACATTCAGAAAAATATCTGAATACTAGTAGTCTAACTGTGGTCACCATTATTTTGTGTATGAGCAGAGACAATTGCCAATACAAATCTATGATTACAATTATAACAGATATAAAAACAATTTTTTATAGAAAATATTATATCATGTACTGTATGTCATTGTATCCAATGAAGCACCTTGATTGCCTTCACAATTATGTTCCTTGATGACCTAATATTTAATTTCATTTTGGCAGAAGCAGAATCTTTTAAAGAAAATAGTTATAATGTTTATTAAATGCTCACAAAGAATAATGATACATAGTACTTTCTGTGGCCCCCGAAAGTGTTTTAGATTATGTTGAAAACATTTCAACATGTGAATATGGCGTTTTGCAAAACAAATTTGTTGTAGGAATGTCAGTTAACTTACAACTGCATCAATTTCTATTAAATTTTAAGACTGCCTGTAAGAAATGCCATTCTTTGCAGCAGAAATAGCAAAAAAAGGAAGCTGTCTGTGTTATTTTTCAAAAGTCATGTAAAGTCATGATACAGCGTTTTTTGGTCACTTTGTCTTGAATAAAAATACCACCCTGTCTGGAAGGATGCATTTGAATTTTCAGTGTCAGTTGGCTTGGCTGTCCACACATACTACAAGTACTTGGTGATCTAGCAACACATTTAGGCACACACAAGTTTTAGCTTAATTAAAGATGAATATATAAATTATACTAGTACTTGTACTTATGGCAAATTGTTGCCACTAAACACAATCAAATGCCACTTTATAGTTACAAATAACTTAAAGAAATACCGTAGTTCCGTTACTTTATTTCTCCACAAATTAATACTTGTGCAGAATTTTAGAAGTTAATGTTACTACCATGTTACTGCTTACTCTCACAGAAGCACCATATCCTAAAGGTTTATCAATAATCAGTATCATAATTTTGACTGTCATGTACAGCTGCTTGTTGACCTAAATAACACTTACTTCAGTTTTATCTTCTCTGATCTACAAAAAAGCTTGATAATCAAAATGCCATTTAAGAAGTAGACATTGACATAGAGCTATAAAACCAATAGCAAATGCTTGTAAATTTTAAGGCTGCTTTCAGTGGAGTATATTTAAATCTATAAATGGCAAAAATATAACATATGAGCTTTGTATATATCTATAACTATATCACTGTCACCAAAGCATCATACACTACAAATTTATCAATATCATAACGCAGCTTTTATCAACCACAGCCTGTTGACGTACTAGTAAGTGCTACACACCTACCACAAGCTAAAAAGTGTTATAATTAATTTTTTTTTAGCAATTCTACACAAAAACTCTCCTATCAATATGTCATTTAAAATACAGACATTTACATATGTTAGGTAAAACCAGATGGCAAACTCCAGTGAATTTATAAGACTACTTTCAATGGCTTATATTCAAATCCATTAATGCCAATCACAAAGAAATTTTACTTTTGACACCCAAAAATACCAATGATTTTCTAGTAGTGAAGGAGGTGCAGTGCTGTTGTTTAGCCAGAAATGGCCAATCAATTTCAATCAATCGCTCCTTGAAACCAAGTCCCTATGCAGCAATAAATCTGACCTCTTTTTACCACACAAGCATATTTTTCCAGAGTATACAGAAGGCAAACAATCACAAGGGGAATCAGTTGGGAGATCCTAAAGTGAGGCTGTGAGAACTGTGTGGGAGTCTTTGGCTCTGTTCTCACAACTTTTAGATCGATCTATCACTGCGGGGAGTGTCACTAGATTACTGTCAGATAATCCCCCTTAAGTCTCCGTCCCCGCCTACTACAAGCTTTATATGTTTTGACATAAAGTGTTTTAAGTTCTGAAGACTGTGTCATTATAATTTTTTTCAGCAAACAATCAAGTTGACAACTGAATTAGCTTACTGTGATAGCGCTGAAGAACAAACCAAATTGAAACCTTGCTGCCAGGTTTACCAGTTTAACTACATATAATCATTAAGCTTTTTTTAAATAGCTAAAATATTTTATCAAATACTTGTAAAAATCATTCCAAAAAGTTCTCCCAGTAACTAAATCCCCTTGCAACAGCTCACACAAGCACCATACACTAAAAGTTTATCAATAATCAATATCACCTCTTAATTGTTAACCAAAACTTTTGATGTAAGTGCCACACACCTACCACAAATTTGTCAGTTTAATGTTTGAAAATTTTCAGCAATTCTACAGAAAATCTTGTTTATCAATATATTATGTCAAATGTAGACATTTACATATGTTAAGTAAAACCACAGGGCAAATCCCAGTGAATTTTTAAGTCTACTTTCAATGGCTTAAATTCAAATCCATTAATGCCAAACACATAAAAAAATTACTTCTGACACCTTAAAATGCCACTAGTCTTCAGAGGAAGCTGGAGGTGCAGTACTGTTGCGTAACAAAAAATCAATTTCAAATAAAAATATAAGCATACCCCTTTGCAACAGTAAATCTGACCTCTTTTACCACACCAGCATATTTTCCTGGACTATATGGAAGGCAAGCAATCTCAAAAGGATCCATTTGGGATATATCCTAAAATGAGGCTGTTTGAACTGTGTGACTCCACTTAAAGATGCATATGAAGTCAATTTTTTGCCACAAAAACCAACCAAATGCCAGCATATGGTTTCAAATAGTATAACTAAGAGAATTACCAAAAGACATTGTTTAATGTTACCCACAAAATGATATTTGAACAGGTTTTTCTTCTGGCTATGCTGTAAATACATGGGCTGAAAAGTAGGTCACATAAGTAGGTTAAATTTCCGACCAAAGATTTAAAGAAAATAGCAGTCTCAAGCTCTTTTATGGTTGACCGAGTGATGTACTAGTATTTAATTTATCCCTTGACATATTAACTTTATTTGAGTCATATAAGAAACTAGTATAAGTGGTTTATATGTGTTACTGGGTATCCACCAATGCTTGGTTCATATGTATCTTTAAGAGACCATTCAGTCTACAATGCCTAAATATGGCTGACCTACAATGGTCTCTCTGCCTCTTTCACATATCTCCATGCATCATCCTTGCAGGCTGCAGGAGCACAGTAATTAAATCTTGGCTAAATTCGACTGGTCGAGGGACGACATGTGTAGAGGCGCATAAGAGGCAGAGAGACCATTACAGGATTAAGTGGTCTTCCTTTCATGTAGGTCCGCCATATTTAGGCCATGGACCCAGTTAGCACTCGGCTCTTCTCATTCTGAATAGGGCCTAAGACTAGATGTTTGGGAATCTTTGTTAAGGGGGATAAATTTTTCCATGATTAGGGTGAATTTCTTTGTGTCAAGAATGTTTAATTGGTACACTATGTTTAATTGGTACATTGTAATAGTATGCTCTGAAGTATTAGACAAAGTAGACCAATGATTTTAGTCTTGGATTTTTTTTACATTGAGTGGTCTATTTTGGTGATACAGATTAACTGTACACTATTAGAGATTCACGTTTTGATTAAAAACATGTCATGTCAAAACATTAAAACAGTAATATTAACTCCATTCATTTCTTGTTTAAAACTAAACAAACAAAAAAAATCTGCTGTACAGCTGATATTGATAAGTAAAGGGTTTTTAATTTAGAAAAAAAAAACCTGTCCACTGATAACAGCATAAAAACCTGAAGACAATTAAAACTTTTGAAACATATAAATAGCTTGAATCAGTCATTTTGGCAGAATTATAA